GCGGCGTGTTGCCCAACATATGATTGTGATGAATATAACGGCGAGTTGCCCAACATATATTGCTCTTTCTGCAGGTTTAGACTTTAGGGTGAATCTCCCTCAAATAGAGGGGATGCTGTCAATTTTTTTTTGCATGTGCTACAGGTTTCCGGCGGCTAACCGGCGGTTTGGCCGCCGGAAACTACGATACCAGATGGCCAATAATCAGCCGCCGGTAAAGGCATTACACCACCGATTTATTACTGGCGGTTACCGACGGTCACCGGCGGTTCGCCAGCGGTTTATATCGTCGGTAGTACCAACGGGTTAAACCGCCGGCGTTCGCCGGTAAAAGACCGGCGGTCTACCGGCGCCTTCCGGCGGTTTCAAAAACAAACGACGCCGAACTAAACCGCCGGAGAACCGTTGGTATATTGACCGCCGGTAAGCCGTCGGTCAAATAACCGACTGTTTCACGGCCGAAAAACCGCCGGTTCAAATTCCGTCTGTAACCGGCGGTCTAAGCCGCCGGTAAACCGCCGCCATAATAAACCGCCGGTAAAAAACCGCCGGTGAAAGTTTCCTACGCGATTTTTTCCGACTGTCAAAAAATCGCCGTGAAGCCGTTGGTAAGGCAAAAAACCGCCGGTTAATATAGAGTAATCGTCGAAAAAAACCGCCGGATTTCGACGTTTTTCCTGTAGTGATTAGGCCATCTTAAATTTTTGTTTTTCTATGTCATCGATTGGGGAAATTATTGGATTCAGACACCGGACGATGTCCGGAGTCAAATAAAAATGCACCACATTACCCCCTACTCGGTACTGAGCTCAGTACTTAACAGTACTGAGTTTAGTATTATTTGGTACTGTGAAGTATCAAATGGTAAGCTGTGTATGGTGTCCAAACCCAATAATCCCTCCATCGATTTGAAAAATTATTAGGTCCGAACACCTGACGTAGCTCTACATATGGATGCTAATAATATGTCGCCACGTGCTCTTAATCTTTATCGTGCGGTTCGATGACCCGGACCCGGTATTGCTATATATTGGCTGATTTGTGCATACCGGGGTATTGTTAGGTATTGCTAGGTATTGCTCGGTATTGCTTGGTATTGCTCGACAATAACAAGAAATACCAATATGTCAAGACCAATACCTAGTAATATCGAGCAATGCCGAGCAATATAGAGCAATACCTAGTAATACCCCAGTTTTGCTAGATATTGCTCGGTATTGTTAGGTATTGCTCGGTATTGCTAGGTATTGGTCATGACAGAGCAATATTTCTCATTACTGTCAGGCAACACCTAGCAATACAGAATAACATCAGCAATACCAAGCAAAATACCTAGTAATACTCGAACATATCAATATCGGGTTCTGGCCTGGGTCGGGTCGTCGGGCCGCACGGTAAAGAGTAAGAGCACATGACGACATGTTATTGACGTCCGGATGTAGAGTTACGTCCAATGTCTGGACCTAATAATTTGTCTATCGATTGAGGGGAAGATCATCATAAACATTTTTTTTTCATTTATATTTCTCTCTTTATTTATATATTTTCCCCATTTTACTCATTTATCTTTAAATTATTAGTTTTTTCAAAATTAAAAATTTTGTCAATTTTTTAAAAATTATTTTAAAATCTCCAAAATTTCTTTTATAGGAAATTTTGTAATTAAAGCTAATAAATTATACTAGAGAAAGATTATAATATTTAAATTTAAATCAAGTATCTTAAAAATATGCTAATTATAATTTTTAATATATTTTTATATTAAAAAGATGCAACTTTTTTATATATTTATTGCTCATTATAAAATATTTTTAATTATTATTATTTATTTAAATTTGATATGAAAACCTTAAGTTAAAAAAAAAATAAAACTCTAATGTTAATTTCAAGCTCGAATGAAAAAGCTTGATGATATTTTTTAAATTAGAAAAATGAGCCCCTCGGATAAATAATCCTAGCTCCGCCACTGAAAGAGAGTAAAACAATCTCAAAGCTCTTCTATGCACTTATAGCTCTCCTTTCTCCTACTCTATTATCGTTTTAGTTGGTCTTATGAATAGTGTTAGGGTGTTCATGGACATGTAATGGACGAAATATTGAAATATTATATTTTAGGGAGATTTACATGCATAACACTTTATACTACTCTATTTACATATTTAACACCTAAAATTTTAATATTACATACATATTACCCATAGTTCATTTTTATATCAAATATGAGTGGTAAAAATGAAATATGTGAGTTGTAGGAAAAAAAAAATAGATTTTAAGAAATAAAATATTAAATATTCTAAAAATAGATCAAATAAATAAATATTATATATATATATAATTTTTTTATTCATTTTAGTGATATCTAAATAAATGATTTTCCCAAAAAAAAAAAAAAAAGAGTAAATGACGTAGACAGATGGATCCCGACTTTTCATAATTACCGCGACCACCCCACTCTCCCGTAGCAGTGGCAGTTTCGTAGTTTTGGATAACAACAGGACCACTTTACGAACTTACTCCTCGGTCCGATCGATCGAGCCCGCTATATAATTGTCATAGCCCGTCAATGAAGATGGAGAGAGACGAAGAAAACAGAGAGGGAATTTACGGCAGAACGACGCTGCTGACCGCGGTAAACGTCCAGGCGAGGAGCTTGTGCCTGATTCACAGAGTTTAGGAGATGCTTCTGAGCTGCAACTTTGTTAGTCCAACCGTCGTTCGAGATGGTCCGACGGTCGCGCAATGCTGGCGGCGAGAGCCGTCGGTCGCCGCGCCAATTCGGCCGTCTGAGTCGGTCCTAGCGGCCTTGCGGTGCTCCCGGGCGGGCCATGAGGCGGTTGGTTTATGCGCACCGGAGACCACGGAGGGCGGTGGAAAGGGATTTGCAGAGAGGCTGAGGCTGGGGCGGCTGGAAGAGGACGGGCTTTCGTATAAGGAGAACTTCATTGTTCGATGCTATGAGGTTGGGATTAATAAGACGGCAACTGTTGAAACCATTGCAAATCTCCTCCAGGTACCTCCGAAGCTCCTTTTTTGTGTAAACTTTTCGAACTATTCTGGATCTCTGAAATGGGTTCGGTTTCGGTTATTTCGTACTTTTATTTCCGCGACACAATGAAGTTTCTAATTTACTAAACTTGTTTCTGTTTTTAGTAAGAGATTCTTTTTTTACTTTGGAACTTTAATATTGCTGCATATTTTGTTTTTTTATGTTTGCGACTATAACCGGAGATGGAATTTGCATTTCCTTTACCCTCCTTCGTTCTCAAGTTAAAGTTTGTGGTTTTGAGAACGATTTAGTAGCTTTTGCTTGTTAATATTAATAATAATAATAATAATATTATTATTTTGGCAATTGAGTTTGGATTTCCTTTACCATCTTTCGATTTCAAGTTCAAGTTCGTGGTTTTGGGAACGGTTTAGTAGCTATAGCTGACATTAAATTTTTTTTTTTTTTTCAATTTAGTTTTTTTTTTTGGCAAGTGAGCGCCCCGAGTTCAAAGGCGAGAGAATTCTCTGCTTGTTCCATTCAATTTCATCCATTCCTTTAAGATCGAATTTGTTTTTATGTTTTTATAAATTCATTGTAGGAAGTTGGTTGCAACCATGCACAGAGTGTTGGATTTTCTACAGACGGTTTTGCCACGACGACCACTATGAGAGAACTTCGCCTTATATGGGTCACTTCTCGCATGCACATTGAAATATACAAGTATCCTGCATGGTAAGGTAGTTGGTCTTTATTGACTTGATATTATTTGTTCTTTGCTCTAAGTTTTCAAACTGTCATGGATACTTTGTTTTAGGGGTGATGTTGTCGAGATTGAAACTTGGTGCCAGGGAGAAGGAAAAATTGGCACTAGGCGTGATTGGATTCTCAAAGATTTGACCACTGGTTTAGTTATTGGCAGAGCGACAAGGTACTTATCAAATCTAACATTTTCTTTTCTTTTTTTATATTTCATTTGTATCTTGAATTTGCAATAAAAGTGAGAATAATTAAAATCAACCCCTTTTGGGCATAGGCTCTTTGAATGAATGTTCATGGAATAATACGGTTTGTATAATTATGACATTCAGGCATTCCATGTAGATGATAATGGTGCTCTGTTTTTGAAGCTCATCGATGTTAAGCCACCATTTACTTTTGTTAACATGGAATCATGTGATTGGCTTGCATGAATCTTTTATGTTAAAAGATTCATGCTGGTCAATGAATTTCCTGGCCAGCATGAGGATTACATAGGATGTAAAATGTGCAGTTCTGATTAATATTATAGAAATAAAGAAGTTGCTCCTTTTAAGTTCATTCTGATTCACTCTCTTTGATGTAGTACAATGTCGTCAAATTAATGATAGTTGATGAAGAATGTAAGACATTATTATGGCTAAATGAATGGTCAACTCTACAAGTATTACATGGCTAGAATTTTTTTATATTTTCATGCAAATGTTAAAGATTTTATTTTGTTATTTCCTTTTTATTTTTCTTTTGTTTCATGTACTATTGTTTTTGCAAGTGTGAGAAAAGAGAATAGTTATATGCATGTTTTATCACTTTGCATGAAAAATTAAATGTTAGTCATGCATTCTTCTGGGAGCCAATCACTTCAAGGGCATTTGGTCATCTAAAGTTAATATTGGGTGACCGCAGAGGTTGGCATTACATAAATAATTTCTTCTTAAAGATTTGAAGTGGATCAGAACTTCAGAAGTAGTTTTCCATGAATATTTGGAATTAACATGACTAGCTTCTCCATGAAGGGGAGTTATAGAACTTGAAGTAGCTTCTCCATAAAAACTCTAAACTTAGGCTCTTTGATATTAACTATTAAGAGATAAAAGTTGAAGAACTAAAGTTTCATATTTTATAACTTATGTTTGATTTAGAAGGCTATAGACATTCCTATCCGTGTCTTTTCAAAATTTTATACAACTTTTGTACTCCCCTATGCTTTTTCATATTCTCCTTAAGATTCATGTTTGTGAAAATGAATATATAGCCATGAAATTAGGTTGTAAACTTTATGTTCTAGAATACAAATTATATTTGCAGAGGTATGTATTCTTCTCTGGAGTTTGCTTAGTGACAACTCCTTAATCTTTGGTTTAGTGACTAGATCAACCCTCCTTTGGTGTGATGCTTGTTGTCTTGTTATTTTTTTCTATTTTATTGGATTTTTTTTAATTGTTCTCTTCCTCTCGTTCTCCCTTGTTCTTCTCAAATTAAGTCTTCTAACTAAAATCAATTTCTATCCAACCTTTTGTTTCTTCAATTCTACTGATGATGGCATTAGAGATCAACGGCTATGATCTGGAGTTTTATTTTACTTTTATTTTTTTTTATGTGTTTTATGTACTAGTTTATTTTATATTTCTATTTTTCTCATTTTTACCCCTAGGGGTGGTCATGTGCTGTTGTAGCCCGAAGGGCATTTTAGTCATTGTTTCTTATTTTCATGAGGCCTATTTATAGGCTTGTTCTCTTGTATTTTGGAGGGGGATGATTATTGAAATGAAATTAAACTTTTCTCATGATCTCTTTGTGAGTTCTAGAGAGTGGCGGTGAAGCCTAGGAGAGGCTAACGGAGTACCCAACAGCCCACCGGTGGGTGAGCCTTTGATTTGTTCTTCTCTTTTCTTTTCCTTCTTTTTCCCCTCCCCATTCTCTCCCACAACAGCTGGCTGCGGCCTCCCCCTTCTTCCCAAGCCGACGACCTATTATTCCCCTACCCATCTTCCCAAACCCACGGCTCCCCACACCCGCCTCCTTCCCACACCCCGCCGGCGTCCCCACCCTACATCCCAGACCCGCCGGAAACCTCCCAGCTTTCTCCACCCGCTGGCATTCCCCCTCCACCCCATAGCCGTCGACCAAATATTTCCCTCCCACATTTTGATTTCAAATTTCCCATAAATGCTTTCCTAATTTGGCTCTCCTAATTTAGGAATAGAATTAAGTTCAAATTCAAATTTGAATTTCAAACTATTCTTAAATTATCATCTCATAAATTAAGAGAAACCTCCAATTAGTTTAAATCTGAAATTAATTCCAGATTTAACTATTCAATCCCCTTAATTACTTGCGCCCACCTCCTTAATACCCAACCCCTCTCCCTTTCTCTCTCCTTGCCCCCCCAACCTTCCCCTTTTAATTAATTACATCCCATGAATTAAAGATCTAATTAAGACAATCCCCTCCCCACTTTCCCTCCCAATTTCCCCAATTATTCAAATTCAGATTTCAAAGGAGTAAATCCTAATTCCCCATTAAATATGTATTTAAATTCAGATTTAATCTACCTCTCTCCCTACCCCTCCTAAGGCTTGCGTTTTCTTCGCTGTCTTGCACTTTTGGAGATTACAGCTTGTTGTGAAGAAGACTTCCAGCACCCTACAACTGCTGTCCAGGGAATTTCTGCAAAGATCAGGGGCTGTCCTGCTGTCCGAATACTCCTTGCTGTCCTGAAGTTCATGGCTGCTGTCCTGCTCTCCAGGAACTCCTGTTTGGTGTCCTGAAGAGTCACATATGCTGTTCCAAGATTCCAGCTGTTTTCTAGTGCTGATTCACCATCCGGAAGGCTCTCATGTGCTTCCCAGAAGATCCAACACGGCTGTCCACATGCAGGACTTCTTCAAGTTCAGCCACCGGACTCTAGATCTTCTCCTTTGCACCTCAAATCAGATCTAAGAATTTGACGACGGTGAAATCTTTCCCAAATTTCCTATCTTCCTAGTCGCTCTCAATTATGGTTTAGTTGATTCACATAGATAATGTTAATTCTCATCCGCTATAACCTAGTGAATTAGATGATTGAGTGAGTGGATTCTTATAGTAACTAAACTCATTGTTAGTTTAGGGATCATCATTGAAAACCAATTATGTATGCAACGTTAGATTAAATTGATTGTTTTACGATCTTAACTCATTAGTATGTGATTTAACTTAAGCTTGTTTTACCGCTCTTTGTGTTTTATTTTGTCGTTTATAATCAATATAAAAATATCGTTATTATGGCTTCTAACATTAAGCTTGCACACTCCTTAATCTAATCATCCTTGCATGTTTGGTTTCACATCATCTACATATCAAAACTTTCACATCATACTCCCAAAATACTCTTACATCTTTTTTTTGTAACATCACAAGCTATCTATAAAATACATATGCCCATCATATCTCCCTTTATAAAATAAATATACCTATTATGGAGGGTGATTGATGAGTGTAGGTATTCTATGAAAAATTTGGGATGCTAGAAAAATGATGCAAGAGTATTTAATGTCTTTGATTCGAAAGTTTGATGAATTGAAAAAAAAGCTAATTAGATTGAAATAGATTTTGAATAGTTTGCTTAACTTGTTAAGAATAATGGAAGATAAGTTTTTGAAACTTTGAATTGAGAAACTTTAAAACGCTTATGGTTAATGCGAGAAGACAAATGAGAAAAAAAATAAAAAAGAAAGTGACATGAACATAAACCTCCTCATCAAAGTAGGGGTTTTCCAAGTCACCAAACTAAGGATTATGGAATTGTCACCAAGTTCAGCCCAAATAAGAAGAAACATATGTCCAAATATGATTTCTATTCTATAATTTGATGCTTAAAATTAAAATTCAATGATTATATTTTGGTTTTTACAAACATGAAACTTAAGAAGAATTTTAAAATATACAGGAATACAGAGGGTCACACAAGAATTTAAAATGAGACATACGTAAATGTCCATGGCCAACCAAATAATTGCATGAGTTATGGAATAGATATTAGGTTCTTCATCTTTTATCTCCTCAAACTAAAGGGCCAAAATTAAGAGTCTTCATGGAGAAGCTACTTTAAATTCACTCAAAGTTTTCATGGAGAAGCTTCTTTAAATTCACTCCAAGTTTTCATGGAGAATCTTCTTCAAGTCCATTTCAAATCTTCATAGAGAAATTACTTCAAATCCATTCTAAATTTTCAGGGATAAGCTATTTATGTAATTCCCACCTTTATTTCTCTCTAAGGCTTTCTCAAAATAACCAAAATGCCCTTGATGCAGTTGGTCCAAACAAGAATGCATGACTAGTATTAAACCCTCACAGTTACAACATTATTATTAGCATATGAAATGAAAGAAAAATAACGAGAAAATAATAGAAAGTTTCTAACTTTTGCTTGTAATAATAAAAATATTCTAGTCATACAATACTTATGGAGGAGGCGATCCATTTAGCCGCACAAATATCTTTAATTCTTCATCAAATTTTATTAATTTCCAACCTTTTGCTGCATAATTCTTTAACAAGAGGAACTCTGGATGTCGATGGTTCAGACTACTTGTGGACTGTTAAAGCTATTATTATTATTTGGGTTAGTTATAGTTGTGCTGATACAGGTTAGGATAATAGACTTATTGAGAAATATTTGTATTTATCTTCTGCTTTTAATGGCTATAATAAGATGTGAAATGATGCCAGTAGTGGTGATTAAACTCAAGGAAAACAGGCAGAATAATCAACTATGTAGCATTCTTATCAAATCTTCCTGTTACCATTTTATGTTAATGACATGTTCATAATGCTTCAGCTTCTTTGGCTTTAACTTTTCTTTATTTTTTTCTTTATATGCGAATATGATATTGGAAATTATTGTCTATCATGGAAGGTGGCTATTTAACCATTGAGTTTTTCTGCTTCTCACATTTGATGTATGTGTCATGATCACAGCAAATGGGTCATGATGAATCAAGACACTAGGAAACTTCAGCGAGTAAGTGATGAAGTGAAGGAGGAGTATCTTGTTTTCTGTCCGCGAACTCCCAGGTAAGATTTGTTTGACTTTATTTTTTTCATTTTGTCTGCTTTGGCTCAATGCCAGGTAATTCATTTTCCTTCTTTTTTGAAATGAATGATATATGATCCTTTCTCTAGTTGGCATCACTAATTTCTTGAATGTCTACTATTGGAAGATCTTAGGTTTATTTGCCTTTATTATAATTCCAATAGAACCTTATGAGAATGTAGTGTAGCATTTGTTTTTTTCTACACATGCCTACTGATAGAGACCTTGATGATGGATCTCTTTCTCTTCTTCTTTCTCCCTCTTAGATTGCCTTTGAACTGCTAGGTTCTCTTATTGAATGCCCTTTGGATGTGAGAACAGTGAAGATGTAGAGTTTAGAGAGAGAAAGGAGGGGGAGGGTCCTGATTAAGAAGCGAAACCAAGGACATGCCTCGGGATTCTTCTAGCTGGAGGAGGGGGGGAGGGAGAGAGAGATTGCAATGCATGTCGGGGAGAGGAGAGGGAGGCGGGATGGAGCTTTCAATTAATTCATAAGATAATGAAAAATATCAAGTATCTTAAAGCCTACTTTTAAATTGGCTCAAAATTTAAATCAAGATAAGACAAATTATATTATCTATTAAAAAAGAAGATTATCCTTAGCAAACGAAAAAAATCGTATCTAGTTAATAAATAAAAGATAATCATTATGTTATGAAAAGGCTGATATTTTTTATGTGAAAGCACCTACTAGGATAGAATATAATGAACACACAAAAAGCAAAAACAAAGAGATCAAACACTACAAGAATACGCTAAAATTTATTTGATTGGACCAACATTAGCTTATTTTAAGAAGATAAGACAAATGATCCAATTCACTTTAGAGAAGTCACTTAGGTGTACAAAAATGGAAGAAGAAAACACTCTTCTTTTGAAGCTACCATTGCATCAATATAGGGCAGAAGCTAGTGGCTTCAAGCAATCAAATATACGATCATTGCAAAGATTGAAGATTCTTCTTCAAATTTACCAAGATTTTGAAGTTCAGAATGAGCAGACATTTTGATCTGATAACCTCAACAAATCAAATTTAACAACTATGGGTTGTTATAGTACAAGTCCAGTGCTTAAACAGATACAATATCAGTCTCAACAAGCCTATATGCGGCCGAATCACTGATAGCTTTACCTACTCAACAAGCCGTGATAAGAGGTCGTATTAGGAAAGCACATGTTTTGTTAGCCCGATGACAAATACTATCAAGTTTGATATTTATCAAATTTAACGAATCAAAGCAGTTCAGATTCAAAAGATTTTCTCAACTAACGAATATATTGAGGCAAAATCCAGAAGAAGATTCTCAATCAACTCAAAGGCACCAAGCCACAATAAAAACTCCTATCAAATTTAGAGGCATTATCCTTCAATAAATCTGTCAAGCACAAAGCTAAGATCGAAGGAGCTTCACTTCTTAAACATGTCTGACAAAACATGAAGCTTAGGACCAAAGAAAATTATCCCGCAGTTCTTATAAAGCTATAGGCCGAACAAAGGGAATATTGTCATCATCAAAGTCCGTCATGCAAAAAAACTTTGGACAGATGACTATTTGTCACCCACCTAATATCATTCTAAAGAATTTAGGTTGTCAATATAGATTCATCATCAAGCCCATGAAAGCACAAAGCTAGGGCAGAAGAAATGTTAATTCCTGACAAATCAGGAAGATAAATCAGGGATATCTAAAAGACCCTCTATGCGACATCTAAAATCAAAATTTTAGAGATCCGTAGGGTCAACCAGTTTACAACAAACATGATCTGCTATAGAACGCATATACATAATTTGATTGGGGGGCATTTGTAAGATCCCGGTTTCAAAAAGGCCAGATGAGAACACTCATGGAAGATGATATGCTTAAAGAACGTTTGCACGTTTAGTTTTAGAGAACAATAATAAACAAGATCTTATGTGGTTTGAACGATAAATAAAAAATATTAAAGTGATAAATAGCGTTTGGTTAAATTAAACGTGCTAGAAAGTTAAGAGCATAAAAATCAATCAATTTAATCTACTTTTGCATACGTGAATGGTCCTCAACAATAAATCCTTCCGTTAACATTAAGAACTAGCACTACAAGGAACCCTTTCACTCAACTCTTCCTATTACTAAGGAATTTAGCGGAGGGACCAACAACATCTTTGTGAATCAAAATATAACCGCATGGGAGAAATAAACTAAGAGCTAAAAGAGTCGAGGTCGAGTTTACCCAAGTAATGAAGTATACGAGGCTCCGGGGTAATAGGAAGGCTTGGAAGAGGGAAGGTGGCATCCACGAACCTTCTGAAGGTGTGATCACATCTGAACGCATCCTGACAGGTTTGAAGACCTTCCACTTGGCTGGCCACAAGAACAGGTGCAGGTTTTCTCAAACAGCAACTCTCATACCCAAAAAAGTCTCAGGCAGTGGAAGGGGACTTATCCGATCATTGGACCAGCAAGTACACGTTACGGATCTTCTAAACACAGGTTGCAGGTGCTTGCTACGTGAAAACAGCAAACAAGGAAGATGTCTGGACAGCAAGAGGGTTGAGTTATTGGGGCTGACCAGCTGGTGGGGATGTGGAGAATTTCAGTGGGACAGCAGTTTACGCAATTCTCTGGAACTTCTGGACAGCAAATCCGTTAGGAAGATTTCAGGCTCTCTTGTTCCGTTTGGAGAAAAGATAAAAAAGAGGTCTAAGGGCTATTCAAATTCAGCTCTAATTTGAATTTCAATTGGGCGTAATTTGGGGGATTGAATGATAATTGATTAAGGCAAGAATTAAGGAGAAATTAATGAGGGGTAGGCCGGCCATGAGAGAGAGGGGGAAATTTGTGTCTAAATTCGTTGTATGTGATCCACGACATTAATGACGATGGGAAATTAAAATCTGAAATTAATCTCAAATTTTATTAGATTGAATTGCTTTCCTAAATGGCTTGGGTCAATTGGAAAGAAATTTGAAATTCAAATCAATTTGATTTGAATTTGAATTCTTCCCAAAAAAGCTATGGCCAAATATGGAAGGTATTGAATGGGGAATTTAATGTGGGGATCCAATTGAGGAGAGGTGGTGAGGCCGGTGGTGGGGAAATTAATTTGAAATTTGAATTCAAATTAATTTTCAATTAATGCATTGATGTGGGTTTAATGAGAGGAAAGCCACATGGTGGCCGGCGGCATGTAGAGAGAAAGGGAGGGGATTTGGGAAAGGTTTGGGGAGTTTCCAAAGAGGGATCGTGGATTAGGAAAATTATTATAACATCCAATTTGTTTGAAATTTAAATTGAAGTCATGAATAAAACTTTCCTAAATAAGAATTTCCAAAATTGGAAAGTTTTGAAATTCAAAATTTGAATTTCAAATTGACTCCAATTTTTCCCTCTCAAGCCCGACTAAATTTGGGAGATAGCATGATGATTGAGATCATCATCACAACAGAAAAGGGGGCTTGGTGGGGCGGCGGCAAGAAGAAGGGAATGGGTGGGTTGATTGCTTGCCGTCGGGTTTTGATAATTTTGGTGGAGGTTGGATATGAAGTGGGGAAGTTAGGGGATGAAAAGGATGTGGGAGTAAGGGGAAAAGAAGAAGATAGGGAAAAGAGAACCACGAATCCGGACGCTTCCAAGGTTGGTGGGTATTGCGTTGCCCTTCATCAAGGGACTTTCTCAAAGCTCTCTCCAAGAACTCTCAAACTCTCACAAGAGTAAAACGCAGAAATTTTCATAATAATCTTCATTAGCCCTTCTCCAAGAAGAGGAGGGATTTAAATAGACAAATACAATAAGGGAAAAATAAAAGACAACAATGCCCTCGGGGCTTACAAAGAACTAATCCCTTAAGCAAGGGCATAAATGGAAAAAGACAAAATAAATAAATACATCACATATAATTGAAATAAAAAAAGGCGTCATCATAGCCGTCGATCATCGGCCACGTCCCTGATGGAACATTAAGGGTCTGATGTCCACATCAGGCCATCCAAAGGAAGAGCCATCACTTGAAATTAGGTCAACAAACATCTTAGATCAAAGAGCAATCAGAGTATTAATTTCTTCATAAGATTTCCATTTTCAAAGAGTAATGGCAGTGCTATGTTATTTTGTTTGTGTTGATGTGGTATGAAATAAAGTCGTTGCTAAGATGCTCTGCAAGTAAGATACCATTATTATGAAACCATGGAGAAGCTGTGTGCTATTAGATCGTTTCTTTTACATACTTCTCGCAGAAATAAAAAGAGTGGTATGCAAGCTTTTGAAGATAAAGTCGCAATAAAGCATTTCCAAGTGAAGGTTTGGTCTTGCTGGGCAGAGCAAGTTTATCAACTCAGCCCATACCATGGGATAGACAAAAATACATCTAAGCTAATTCAACCTCTAAAAAGAACTTCAACTAAAGTATGAGGTCATGGGTAAAAAAAAAAAGCTTTTTGTATAGCCCAAGCAACCATAAACTCATGTGTGCCCATCAACAAATTGAATATCTACAAATTCAAAAGCTTAGAACAATCAGAAATGTACAAACATCTTCAAGAATATCTTCACCTTTTCAGTTTTCCACACAAATGCGTTCCAAAAATCAAAGTGCAATGGCTGAAAAAAGCCAGTGGCCCCTGCTATATGTTTTAGTTCATTGAAAACAAAACAATCAAAATTAGAGAAAATCAGGCCAGATTAGTGTTCTGCTTAAGAGCATTAAGAGATGCATGCTTTTTAGTGCCAAATTCAAAATCATGTGCCTTTGACAACTGCGATACAGTGTTCTGCTTAGATCTTATTCATACTGTTTTATATAAAAATTCAATGAACTTGTTCATTTTTTAAGATTAGATAAAATTTTGACATTATACATCAAATTAACCTTTTTTTCCCTCTTGCACAACACGGGGTACTTGCTAGTTGCTAATTTATATAAATAATATTAGGTTATGCAAGAAACATCGGTTGAACCATCGAAACTCCAATAATGATTATTTTTTCCTCATCAATTCTATGAAATAGCATCGAATTCATATACCCATATGATCAGC